CCTTAGTCTTTTTCCTTCTCCTCGGGAGAGCCCTTACCTGGTACTCAGAGGATCGACTTGGGCTGGTCCCTAAGGATCAGGGCCCACCAGACTTAACTGCCAGGTGGACTAGAGTGCCTTGCCCCTGTCAGGAGCCTTGCGTTCCTCGGGTTCAGGGATATCGTGGCTCTTTTTCGGAAGAGGACCAAGCACCCTCGTGCACTTTTCTGTGTTCACTTTTTTTTTTTGTGCTCGCAGGGGTTTGTTCTACGATGCACAACAAACGACAAACGCACTCAACAATTTGTCACCAGTTATACAGTAAGGTGCACACGAAATGGGCTTTGCACAGTAAAACAGTAGAAAGGCATCATGGCACACTCACAAACCAGCATGTAAAACAACTTGTCTCACCACTAAGGACAATGACAGAGGTTTGGATACACGTCTTCTGCAAAGGATGTGTAAGCCGCACTGCCGCGCCAAGGCACCTCTTATAGTGCGGGCCTAACTCTAAACTATGAGAGTCTCCATCTTGGAGCACATGGGGGCAGAAGATATCAAATTGGGTGCAGGTTTGTCAGGAGGAAGCCCCACCTCCTTAAAGGTACAGAGACACACAAGGGATCCCGCACATCCCAATGGCAGCTGAGAAACCCCATGCGTCGCTGCACCAAATCGGTAAAGCAAGTTCTACGATGCACGCACAGCGGAGCTTAAAAATAGACTCTTTAATTATACAGTATATGTGAGCGCTATATAAATGGAGGACATATTAACCCTTGATTCTTTTTTCTCTTCCCATATGTAAGGAACCTGGCAAACCAAACTTTTGAGTTCTGCCGAAAGCCCATGCCTTCGTATTCCTCATCCAATAGCAGCAGCTTCTGCAGCGCACAAGGCAGCGAGAGCTCCCCGGAGGACAAGATCATGGTGACTACCTCCATTATATGACATTCATTGCTGCTCTAAGCATTGTTTTATGACTGTGAATAATAACTGCTATCACAGCGCCATCTGCTGGTGGATTTGAGGTACTGCACTCCAGAGTATCTAGAATCCTGGAAATGGCACTTTTAGGTTTTGATTAGAGGATTTTTTCATGGGAGAAACATGTAGGCTGCTGGTGGTGACCCTTCTTCTTAAAATGCTGGTTGCCTGGCATTCATGTTAATCATCTGCTGCCATTATTTTGAGTCCCTGACCTGGAACCAGCATGCAGATGCCTGCCAACCTTGCTCTGATTTTCCTGATCTGCATGTTTCAACATTCCAGTTGTGTGATTTTAAAAGGGACTGAAGCCAGTTGGCATATCTGCCAGGCAATGAGCATTTTCAGAAGTAAGGCAGCCCCCATATTTCTCCTATGACATGTTTACTTCAAAGCCCAAATGTAGCCCCTCTGGGGAGGGATTTCCCTTCACTTCCTGTTCTGTCTCACAGCTGTTGAATAGGCAAGAAGCAGAGAGATTTTGTATTTCCTGTTCTTTCTGACATTTTCTTTGATAAACAGGAAGTCAGGAAAAAAATCTGAAATTGGGACAAAAACTGAAATTCTAACTCATCCCTACTCTAACTGGGGGTGTTGGTCCCTCTACAGGCTCAAATGATTGGCAGCGGGGGGTCTTCTTTAACCAAATCAATAAATAGACTTCCCCTGGGCCTCTAACCCCCTGGGGGTGGCAGGGGGGTATCCATCCACTTCCTGTTCTGTTTGACACATAAAACAGACAATAAGAGGGAGATTTACCCTCATTTCCTGACGTTTATTAAAACTGCGCCTGAGACGGGAAGTAAGGAGAAGTTTTTAGAACAAGGACACGCGATAAGAACCTAACACACAGCAGAAGCCAACACGCCAGAGTCACATCCAAAGGTATTACTGTAGTCCCATGTTATATATCCAACAGCCAACAGTCCCTTTTATAAAGGTGACAAACACCTGAATCAAGAGGAAGTCTCTGAGACATTGGATTTTAGATATGGGACTTCTGGAAAACGTTTAGCTGTGACCCTGGTGTGCTGGAGTCCTCTGTGTGTTGGATGTACATGGCAGCAGGTCATGCACCCACATGCATGCTCATTGACAGTGCCGTACTGTTTATGGATAGCTGAAGCAGTAGGCACCCACCAGGGGTTCTAACCCTTCCCTACCCTGTCTATTGCTGAGAAAAGAACGTTTGACAATAAGGGTCAAGTCCCTCTACGGCAGTGGAGGGCAAACTATTTGGTATAGGGGTCCTCGTAGCCACTCCCTGACTTTACGCAAAGGGCCACACATAATATTCAGTGAATGTAATGCTACAGAAGGCTGTCAGAGACTGCAGACTTTTTGTATTATTTGTACATTGCTGACAATTTACGCAGTGCTCTACGTACTGCACATTCACATCAGTCCCTGCCCTCAAGGAGCTTACAATCTTAGGGCCCTCTCTCTCATGCATACATACCGGGCCAATGTAGCCAACAGAATGTCTTTGGTGTGTGAGAGGAAACTTTGAACCAGGGACCCCCCCAGGCATAAGTGCTAACCACTGCACCACTGTGATGCCCAGGCATGAAAGATGACATGGTCAGAGACTGCAGGCATACCACAAAAGATGGTCAGAGACTGCAGAGATCCACAGAGGATGGTCAGAGACTGCAGGCATACCACAAAAGATGGTCAGAGACTGCTGAAACACTACAAAATATGTTCAGAGACTGCTGAAACACTACAGAACATGGTCAGAGACTGCAGACATCTACAGGAGATGGTCAGAGACTGCAGACATACTACAGAACATTGTCAGAGACTGCAGACATACTACAGAACATGGTCAGAGACTGCAGACATCTACAGGAGATGGTCAGAGACTGCAGACATCTACAGAACATGGTCAGAGACTGCATAAACACTACAGAACATGGTCAGAGACTGCAGACATCTACAGGAGATGGTTAGAGACTGCATAAACACTACAGAACATGGTCAGAGACTGCAGACATCTACAGGAGATGGTCAGAGACTGCATAAACACTACAGAACATGGTCAGAGACTGCAGACATCTACAGGAGATGGTTAGACTTGACACATGCTTCAGGAGACAGTCATAGACTGGCGACGATCACTGCTAACATTTGTAATCCCTGCAACCCCTTTAAAAATAACTCACGTCACATATGATATTTATCTTGCACCATCAGAGGTAAAAGCAATTAAAAGAAAACTGGGATGGACAGCACAGAAAAATGTACGATCGTGTGAAGGAAATACATCAAACCATTGACCGCTATAAACCACTCTAAAGAATATTATTCTTTCATTAGTTTGAGTAAGCACCAAACCAGAGAACTGTCTGCAGGGACCCCTGAGGGCCACAAAGTAAGTGCCAAAAGGCTGCATGGCTCTACAGGCTCCAATGTTCATCAGGGGGGGGGGCCGCCTTCAACCAATTCACTCAGGTCAGGTGACTCCCCGCTGGACCGCCATGACAGGCTCCAAGTATAGCGCCTTATAATATTACGCAGTTGGAAGCTAGAAATGGAAAATGGCTTCGCTGCATGCAGTGCTGCTGTCCGGGAGGCCGATGCGTTTGCACTCATCGCCACATGGCAACCTGTAAAAAAAATGTGATGAGGCCGACCAACAAAGAGACAAATAGTGGAACCCGGAGAATAAAGAGGGAACACAGCGCAGGCAGAACGGGACACGGCCTTGGATGAAAGCCTTACAACAAGCGTGAGCACATGATGATAAGGATATCAAATATTGTCATAGGCAAAGCGCAGGACGCGCGGACACTACATGATGAGTCATCTAAGAACTGGAACATCTTGTTTTTACATTGACAACGAAGAACCTGCCTGCGCAGGTCTGAGCCACGAGGATCATTTAGGAGGCTTCTCCGCCTAAGTTAACCAGTCCACTTCCAAGCGCAGACATCCCAACTCTCCCGGACGCTCCGGGAGTCTCCCGCTATTAGATAGCGTCTCCCGACCGCCCGGGAGAGAAACACTTCCTCCCGGAAAGGTTTAAACTGCTCGAGCAGATTAAACCTTTCCCTGCGATCGGGTTTTTTTTTTCTGACATCGGGAGCCGCGGCCCGACTGTCTGTCAGAAAAGAAAAAAAAAAGGCATACGAATGCATAGCTAGATTCCTATTGGCTATTGCACTTTGCACTGCTGTCAATCAGCAGAGGGGGAGCTGAATTTTTCTATCAGGTCCTCTTCTGGTGATTGAAAGCAGCAGAGGGCGTGTGCAATAGCTAGTTTGCTATTGGCTATTGCACAGTGCAATAGCCAATAGGAATCTAGCTATGCATTCTTATGCCTTTTTTTTTTCTATTATTCTGACTGCAACTGTCAGAATAAAATAAAAAAGTCTGCAGATAGCAAAGGAGCTATTGCTTCCTGTGCTATCTGCCATCATTTCAGGGGGCTGCTCTCTCCCAGCCCCCCCTAACACCCCTCTCCGCAGATGGGGGGGGGCACCTCACTGAAATGAGAGGGACACCTCCCTGAAATTGCTTCTTTCAGGTTGGGATCCCTGCATGCGGTATTATGTGGTCTTCCATAAAACGGTTCTCTGCTCTATAAATCAGGAGCTGGACGTTTCTCGGCGGAGTATTGGGTGCCAAGATCTGCAGTGAACGTCATTGACATCCCCCATGTTCCCCCAACTGTCCCCTATCCATAACCCTCCATGAAATGCTACATTGTATCTCAAAGTGGAAGGAAACTCAGCATCAAAATTCAGACGGAAGTCAAAGTCCCACATCTTACTTCCCCAAGATAGCTGTATACACAACCCCTCGGGTGCAGCATCATCCCACCCTTTCCAGTGAGCCCTGGCTGCTAATAACAATCCTCCTTTCCCCCCATCCTCCTAATCCGCATCATGCAATCCTTCCCTGTGAATGTGAGCCATCAGTGACACACACCCCTGTGCTCAGCCTCATCCACCCCTTTCCGGTGAGCCCAAGCTGTCAATGACCCACCCCCAAGGTTCAACATCTTTCAATGCATCCTGTGATCCCACGCTGTCAATGAAGCAACCACTGGGCTCAACATCCTCCAACCTTTGGGGAGTTGATGGTCTTTAACCCCTTCCTGTGAGTCACAACTGTCAGTGAAGCCTCCACTTCCTCCTACTCTGGATCATCCAACTCCTTCCCATGAATCCAAGCTGTCAAAGAGGCACACCCCTGAACTTAGGATCATCCAACCCCTTCCTGTGAGCCATAGCCGCTGATGACATGCCCCTTTCCCCCTACTCTGTATCATGCAAACACTTTCTATGAATCCAAACTGTCAATTACACACACTCCTGAGCTAATCCTCATCAAACCTCTTATTGTGAGCCCAGGAAGTCAATGGTGCACCCTGGGGGTACAGCATCATGTAACCCCTTCCTGTGGGCCAAGGCTGTCAATGAGACACACACTGGGCTTAATATTATCCAACCCCTTCCTGTGAGCCCTGGCCGCTGATTACATCCCCCATTCTCCCTACTCTGCATCATGAAAACACTTTCCATGAATCCAAACTGTCAATTACACACACCCCTGAATTCAGCCTCAACCAACCTCTTCCTGAGAGCCCAGGAAGTCAATGATGCACCCTGGGGATACAGCATCATCTTACCCCTTCCTGTGAGCCCAAGCTGTCAATGACACACCTCCCGGGCTTAACATCCTTCAGCCCTTCCTGTGAGCCCAGGCTGTCAATGACGCATTCTTGGGGGTTCATCATCATTCAACCCCTTCCTGTGTGCCGTCATCCATTCCTTGTCTGTTAGGCCAGGCTGTCAATGACACACCCCAGGCTAATTTTCATCACACAGCTTGGGCATAATGTTTAATTATGCAGGGGACATCCCTCATATGTCACAACCTGATGAACGTAGAAGTAAAAATGGCTGGATAGACCCAAACACATTTGAGAAAATCATATTTTAATTTTAGGGAGGCCATGGCTTAGCTGACGCGTTCATACTTTGGTGTGTACATTCAATATCAATCCTCCCTTGTTAGTAAATTCTGTGTACTGTATATATGCTATCAGGGCCGTATTTACTCTCTCTGTTGCCCCAAGGCCTGGTTCCTCAATGCGCCCCCCTACCCACCAAACACCCCCCTTGGAGAATGGCAGACCTGCAGGTTGCATACAAGTATTCTAGGCGACATTGTCGGGATCACTTGTACAAAACAAATGGCGCCTTCCCCTCTGTACATTTAGCTCTGCCCAAAGCAGGGCTAAATGTAAAAAACAACTACCCGCCCGGTGCCCAGAACTGCATGTCCTGGGCATCAGGAGATGGGAATTCCACACCCCTGCTGCCCCTCTTCTCCCTGCTGCCCCAAGGCCGGACCTTGGCTGGCCTTGTGGGAAAACCGGCCCTGTCTGCTATATATGTAAACGTGTGCGTGTTCATGCGCAGTACATTCCAAGAGCATATGATTAGCTTGTTCATGCAGGATCGATGCCTCATCATACGCACAAAACCCTTAAGTAAACCAACCAGCTGTTCTTTTGTGTCACATGTGCTATAAATGATAAATGCGAAAACGCCCAAGAATCTAATCTCGATTTTCATCTTTTCTTCTTTTTTATAGGACAACACCTTGAAATAGTAGCTGATGGCGTCAGCACCAGAGACCTGGGAACTCACTGTAACAGAACATAAATCCCCGATCCTCTCGGACAAATTTACATAGTCACCAATGTTCCCTCATTTCGAGGCCGGGGATTAGTTTGGAGAGTTTGTCCCCAGAATCTGTTGTCCCTTAGGGATGTCACTTTGGTTTTAGTATGAATCTAGAGCAACCTTTCTCATCCTTTACCATAGAGGAACTCACATTACTTTATCAGACCTAGAAAAATCATGATATCTGCAGCTCCAGGTACATTAGCACGATCAGAAGTTGTAGGGGGTTTGTATATAGAAGAATAAACAATGTTGTGTACTTAACACTACCCCACTCACTCTAAATTAATTTTAGTAATAATCATTCAATAAATAAAATTAAAAATGTATAGCCAGAAAAAACACAGTAAAAACTGTAGTGACCTCTAACATTGGTGGTCAGTGTAGAAGTGACTCCTTACATTGGTGGTCAGTGTAGAAGTGACTCCTTACATTGGTGGTCAGTGTAGAAGTGACTCCTTACATTGGTGGTCATTGTAGAAGTGACTCCTTACATTGGTGGTCAGTGTAGAAGTGACCCCTTACATTGGTGGTCATTGTAGAAGTGACCCCTTACATTGGTGCTCAGTATAGAAGTGACTCCTTACATTGGTGATCAGTTTAGAAGAAACCCCAAACACTAGTATAGTTTAGAAGAGACCCCTCACAATGGTGATCAGTTTGGATTTGACCCCTCACATTGGTGGTCAGTTTAGGAGTGACCCTTCACAATGGTAATCTGTATAGCTGTGACCCCTCACATTGGTGATCAGTATAGACGTGACCCCTAACGTTCGTGGTCAGTTTAGATGTGATTCCTCACATTGGTGGTCAGTTAGGAAGAGACCCCTCACATTGGTGGTCAGTTAGGAAGAGACCCCTCACATTGGTGGTCAGTTTAGAAGTGACTACTCCCGTTTCTGGCATTGGTGTAAATCACTGTAGGCAGGAGACTGGTTGAGAAAGGCTGCCCTAGAGGAATATCAAATATCTATTTTTCTGCATGTAAGATTCAGATTTGATCATATTTTAGTGCTCTGAACGTTAACATGAAAAATATTTATTGACAAAAAATTATTTAAAGATGAAAAAAGTATTTAATTTTCCACTGTAGTAAAGATATCATATTTGTCTGTATAGCAGAGTGCTATGACTTTTATTACCATTACGGGTGATGGAAAAATATTTTTTGATTGATGAAAGCCACGTTATGTTAAAGGGTCAGTCCACCTAAAACTATTGACTCACCGTTCCATATATCTCTCAGTGACTCTATTGGTGAGATCTCTGCACTGAGTTTCTGGATCTGCACATCAGCTGTGTGGATTCCCACCGTCCTTGTTCTGAGTTCCAGCGTCTGTATTCCTGCTGTACCCATTATAAGGGGTTCTAACCACCCTTGCACTGAGTTCCCCAGTCTCCACACCTGCTGTGTCCATTATGAAGGGTTCCCACCATCCCTGAGCTGAGTTACCAGGTCTGCACACTTGCTGTGCCCATTATGAAGGGTGCTCACAATCCCTGTGCTGAATTTCTGGGTCTACACACCTGCTGTGCCCATTAAGAGGGACCTCCACCATCCCTGATATATTTTATTTTACGAAGAATGTAGCAGGGATATCCAAACCTCCCAGATGGACAGGAAAAGAGCAGGAAATTATGGCAGGGGGATCCCACTGTTGCAATATCCATATAAGAGATCAGGGGCTCACTCATCCCACTAGGATCCGCTTATAGCTTAAAATTTCCCTTTTGGGTGGACTGACCCATTGCAACCTTATGATACAACATCAAAAAAGGACTGAGTAAGAAAAAAATGTATGCAAATTCATCCAGGATATAATAGATCAATTACACACCGGAAACTTGTGCTGCTATCTGTAGCCTTGAAGCCACCTAGTGCTCTTAAGTATTCTGAAGCTATAAATGTCACTAGGCCAACAATATCGATTTTTTTGCTGGGGGTAAGAAAGATCTTTGTGATTGGTGAGGTGTTTTAGAAGCTAAGCTCTCCTGAACAAACCCCCCAAAAACCCCACTGCTGTGCTCCAGCTGCCTGCCCACCAAAATGCCAGAATTGTGTAAAAAGTGGTGGGATGTACAGTGAGTGGCAGCATGGCGAACCTTCATCTTTTGATCATAAAGAAGTTGGATAAACACCATGTAACACAGAAGGGAGTTACACCATCCTGCCCTGCCCAATCAGGATGCTTGAAGACTCCAAACCCAGAAGAAACCATTGAGAAGATGACGGCACCAGCGAGGGAGCTTGGGGGACGGTGTATCACTGGAACGGAGGTGAGTATAGATCTCTGCTTTAACCTGGTATTGCATCTGAGTCCAGTGTCTGGAACAAGGTCAGAAGGGTAAAGTATTGCCTGTTTTGGTCATGTAATGGCATGCAAGCAATGTTTTTGTGGTGCTGTACTGTGAGCTTAGGCCCATGACTCCCTCCTAGAAAGTCGGTTAAATAACACTGGCCATCATGCAACCCCGAAAACTGGCAGCAACTACTAGTGGAAAAGAATCAGGCCCGGTTCACACCTGTAGCGCGTTCCACCGGAACACCGAAATCCTATTATTTCCGATGGGAATGGTTCCCACCTGGGCGTATTACAGGCCGTATGAACGCGCTACAAAACGCCCTGCGCCCAAAGAAGTACAGGAGCTTCTTTGGGGCGTATTTGCCGCACGTATCCATTGGGATAAAGCCAGGTAGCCCTCAGAAACTCGCGTTTGTCGCGCGTTTTGTTACAGCGGTCGAAACGCGCGACAAACGCGCATATTCGATACGCCTAGGTGTGAACCCAGCCTCAATGAGCACGGGGCATAGCTCTTGATGGGAAAAAAATGTTTGCCAAATGCTATTGTAGCCAGACAGCTACAATAGCATGTAGCTTCCACCATAGCAGACCAGTCACATGGTCTGCTAAGGCTGAAGTTATCCAATTGATTGGCAGGCAATAGGAAATCTTTCTCCTCCAGAGTTGTGGATGTTATCTACTGGAAGGGGAAGTGCAGGGTTGGTGAGACTGTAGCAGTAAACACTATGTCTGCCCAAAGCCACCAATGACAGCGCATCCTACAGCAGGACTAGACCTAGCAGCCAATGACTCCTAAACTAAAGGTAACTGTGGCAGTGTGTGGCAATGCCACTATGTAGAGTGGAAAAAGGGTCACCCAGGACTCCCAGCAAGAGGGGCTGAGCGGCTCCAGGCAAGTACTGTTACTAGGAAAGAGCTGGTTTTACAACTCATTCCGGGTTTTCTGGATCATAGTTGGGATCCTGGAGCCAGGAGATTTCTAAGCGAACTGGGAGGGAAGAAATCTCCATTCCTGGGCCCGGGCTCTAGTGGTGACCAGCACCGAATGATGGTGCACCTGTGCACAGCGCTTATGAGGAGGATGCTGGGTCAGGTTCAAGGCTCTACCTGGGTGACAGAGGAGGTCTCTGCAGGAGTCAGGAGGGCTCCACCCTGGGACCAGTCTGTGGCTGTCGGACTGAGGAGTGTGTCACCTGTGTGGTGAAGAGTGTTTGGTAAACATGCAACCTAAAGTCGGGGGACTTTGAAAGTGCTATTTTGCTGAAGAAAGAAAACTGTACTTTGTGTTTAAAAAAAACCCTGCGAGGGTAAACCTGTGTGGACTTATGAGTTGGATTCAATAAAAGTGGGCAAGGAAGCCCTTAAAAGAAGTCATAAGCGAGTGGATGCGTCCTTAATGCGCTACCATTGGAAGCTAAATCTCACATAACATACAGAACCGCTTGTGACCAGTCCAATAATGAATCTGTGGTCAAGTAAAGGCTCTCTATGTGATACATTATATACACGGGTACATCTGAATGTGAGTACAGGCGCTCAGATTACATGTTCTCCTGACATCATCTGGATGGCTTATAAAGCCCGTATCATGTTGCTGTGGCGTTACGGATTCTTCTCCCAATAAAAAAACAAAAATGTCGCCTCATGTCTGACATCTGCGTTTTGTTTTCTGGAATGGCCACAGCCCAGAGATGTATTGCAATCAATGGCGCAGTCTGTGTTCCCTGCGGACATGGTGCTTTCCAGTGCTCAAATACTACATGGGAGGGGGAGCGAGCTAAAGTATTTTTTAATCAGGAAGGCTCCTGTGAGGTTCTGGTATTGATGGGTCTTTATCCGGCAGATATAATACGAGATGAAACCCTACGTGGACGACATTTAGTTTGCTGAAGCACTGTGTATCCCTTTCCCCCATCTCAGTGCTGTTGATCTCCTCCAGCTTCCTGATAAGTGACAATGGTAGACCATGTCAGTGCAATGTGGGTGTCAGCACAACCACTTGTAATTTCTACCAGGGATATACAATTGGAGAATCGTTGTCACTCCATTACAGAATGTGCCCGAACAAGGGTCTTCATACCGCCATCATCAGGTATTCTTTCAATGAAATTTGCAAAAAAGCTTTTGTAATGACATTACTATTTTGAAGCTTATATTAGATTTTAGTGATTAGGTTTAGATCTACTTTAAAGGCAAGAATTTTTTTTTGTGGATCTCCATTATTAAAGAAAAGTACATCATTTTATATTTGTATAGTACCATTCCATCACCCGGAGCTTCCATCACATGAAAAGCCCCTCACTACCCGGCTTGAGAAAGACAAGCTCTTCGAAACGCGTAGCCGCTCTGTTTTTTGGCCACACCAGACCCTGCTTACCTCCGTTACTTCCCGTCCTCACCCGCTCCATTCTGCAGACACACCGCTCGTTGTCACCGGGCTCCCCGCTCCCCGTCAGCAAGTGCCATATTCCCCACCCCCGATCCACTCGGCGTCCTGCCTCGAACAGATTGATTTCTCCCAGCCGTCGGCTCAGACAGCCTGTCATCCAACATCACCCCTTACAATTCTACCAGCACCACCTTGGCAAACGACTGACACCCCGGTCTGCATCTATAAGAAGCAGCACACCCATCATTCCTACCCACACCCAGACACCCCCACCCTTGTGTCAGCGCTGCATCTAGGGAGAACTCTCCCAATTTTTCTGAAACTCCCAGAACCCCATCACCAGGAGCTTCCAGAGCCCCATCACCCAGGCCCCATCACCAGGAGCTTAGAGCTTCCAGAGCCCCATCACGGGGAGCTTCCAGAGCCCCATCACGGGGAGCTTCCAGAGCCCCATCAGCGGGAGCTTCCAGCTTGTAGTTTGTAATTGTAGCAGTGTAATAATGCTCGAGGATTGTAATTTTTAAAGTGAGCCTACTGGTCTTCTGAATGTTATCTGCCATTCATATTGTTCTTATCATTAAACAGTGCAGTGTAATCAAACCCTTACAGCAGAGCTTATAAAACTGGAATTACTTAAGCAAAGACTGAAATGAACAAGCCACGGTTACTTTTCATGTTGTTTTTAATATGGAAGTTTATCGTAAAAAAAAGGAAAAAAAAAAGGTCACTATTAAAAAAATATGGTCCTATATAACTTCTGAAGTTCTGAACACATTTGAAAGTATTTTGGAGGGGGTTGTATTTCATATTACAGTCTCTGTACATTTTCATTGGCATGGCGGGGCCGTAATTCACGAGAATCTATTTTGGCAGAACAGATACTTCTTGTTGCCACATTAAACCTAATTTTGGTTATAAGAATCATGTGCAAATAATCAGTAACACATATGAATGGGTTAGTGAGAAAATAACTTGTGAAAATAAAAAGTTTAGAGTCTAAAGAATTAAAGGAAGAGAAAGTGGGTTTCCAATGGTCTTCTGGGCTCGAGAAACCTTCAGAAGACTTTAGGAATAACATACAAAAAAATATGAAAACCTAAAAAGGTATCGCAGGTCAAAAAACACCCCAAAACCCACCAATATCCATTGATAATCTCACTCAGATCAGGAGATGAAAAAAAGGTTCAAAACACAGGGGGGAAAAAAAAATATAGAGAGAGAGAGAGAGAGAACATGTTGGAACTAAGACACGGACAACATTTTTTTCTGGCAGGCTAAAAAGCAAAGATTTACTAACTAGTGGTTAGCAGCTAAGTGACGGCTGACCAGCAGTTAACTATCAGTTTCGGCAGAAGCTGTAAACTGATTAATATCCATAACACTGAACTACAGTAGAAGCAGCAGCATGGACGGGTGTGGTCAGAAGGTCCAAGAGTCTTTGGTGGACAAGGCTTGTACTCGTAGTAAGGAGGTGGCTTCGAGGGTGGCATCAGTGAACAGCCCGAGAGCGCACCACGTGGCACTTCTTGCACAAAACATGGCCGTCCAATGGGAAACAGCCAGAGTCATCAGCCTCGACAGAGAGAGCACTGCCGCAGTCCTAGAAGAGAGAGAGAGAAGGGGGGGGGGGGGGGAAAAGGTCA